TATGACCACTGCAGCATCCCCAGGGTCATGTGATTTACATTCGGATGCTTGGCAACCGATTCTTATTTATGATGGTCACATTGTTCCAGGGTCATGTGATCACCTTTTGCAACCTTGTGACAAGCAAAGTTAGTGGGGAAACCAGATTCACTGAACAGCCATGTTACTAATTTAATCTCTCTCCTTCTTTCTTTCTCTCTCTCTCTCCCTCTCTTTCTTTCTCTCCCTTTCTCTTTGCCTCTCTCTCTTTCTTTCTCCCTCCCTCTCTCTTTCTCTCCCTTTCTCTCCCTGTCTCCCTTTCTTTTTCTCTCTCCCTGTCTCCCTTTGTCTCTCCCTTTCTCTCTCCCTCTCCCTCCTTCTTTCTCTCTCTCTCCCTCTTTCTCTCTCCCTTTCTCCCTCTCTCTTTCTCTTTCTCTCTCTCCCTCTCTCTATTTCTCTTTTCCTCTTTCTCTCCCTCTCTCTATTTCTCTCTCCCTCTCAAAGATCCTTAAAATCTTTAAAGGTTATGCTTGGACGGGAGACTTTTTCTTTTACAGATGGGGCGGGTGGGCCCAACATTCGCGGGCAGGCAGGACCCCACCCACCGAGCCGCCGCTTCCCCATCGCCCTCCACGCCAGCCGGCTCTGTCGCCAGACCTCCCAGCTGACGGGCGCAGGTCCGGGGGTCGCCAGCTGACGGGGGCAGGAGTTCGGCGCTGCGGCGGCCTCCCCTTCGCCCTCCGCACCAGCCAAAGCGTTGCCTGACGTTCCAGCTGATGGGCGCAGGTCCGGGGGTTGCCAGCTGATGGGCGCAGGAGGTAGGCGCCACGGCGGCCTCCCAGCCGCCTACTTCTTCAGCTGGAGCAGTTGCAAGGGCTTGGATGGTTGCCGGCAGCGGGGAGCGCGTCAGCGGCCCTTGGGGACCATGCAAGCCCTTGCAACTGCTCCAGCCGAAGAAGGAAGCGGCTGGGAGGCCGCCGTGGCGCCTACCTCCTGCGCCCGTCAGCTGGCGACCCCCGGACCTGCGCCCGTCAGCTGGAACGTCAGGCAACGCTTTGGCCGGTGCGGAGGGTGAAGGGGAGGCCGCCGCAGCGCCGAACTCCTGCGCCCATCAGCTGGCGACCCTCCAAACTTGCGCTTGTCAGCTGGGAGGTCTGGCGACGGAGCTAGCTGGTGTGGAGGGCGATGGGGAGGCGGCAACTCCCGCGAATGTTGGGCCCACCCGCCCCATCTGTAAAAGAAAAAGTCTTCCGCCCAAGCATAATGCCAGCAGTTCTGTGCCACAGAGGCTTGAGACATGGAGGCGGGGGACNAGCTGGCGACCCTCCAAACTTGCGCTTGTCAGCTGGGAGGTCTGGCGACGGAGCTAGCTGGTGTGGAGGGCGATGGGGAGGCGGCAACTCCCGCGAATGTTGGGCCCACCCGCCCCATCTGTAAAAGAAAAAGTCTTCCGCCCAAGCATAATGCCAGCAGTTCTGTGCCACAGAGGCTTGAGACATGGAGGCGGGGGACACGGAGCGGCGCGGTGCCGTGGGAGGCAGCAGGACAGGGGGGAGGGGTTACCTGCATCCTGCCAGCCTGAAGCCTGCCTGAATGAAGAATTTTAGGTGGTGTTGAAAGGGAGACAGACTGAGGGCTGTATTAAGACCATAGATGGCTGCGTAAGGAGAGTGGAAGGGAGGCGAATTTGGGGTGGAGCAGAAAACCCGGGGGGGGAAGGCGTTAGGAAATAAGCACCAAGGTACATGGTGCCTTGCAAGGGATTCCCGAGTGTTCCGCAATTGTTTTTCCTCTCTTCTCTGCGCGAGAAAAACTTTTGCGTCGTAAATCTGAAATGAGTCCCTGGGGAGGGCGGGGCCTTGCTCTGCACCTGCGCTCTTCACACGCCTCCTGCAGGGCACATTTGGTAAAGTTCATGCAGGCTGCCGCCAAGCAGCATATTTTCCACAAACAAGTGAGGTGGGAAGGAGCGGAGGGGGGGGAGGAAGGCAACGCCGCGGGGGGGAGGAAGGCGACGCCGCGTACCACCAGCCAGGTGGTTGCGTACCACAAGTGGTACGCGTACCACCGGTTGACAAGCCCTGGGTTATAAGAATAATATAAGCTGATAAGTAATATGTGTTATACATAGATGTTATTACTATTTGTATAAATATGAAAAAATGTTTATATTTAATCATTTATATATTGAAAATATTAAGAATTATATTTTGGTTAAGGTTGAAGAAGGAGAATACAAATGGGAGAAGGGAAGATCAAGGAAATATATTATTAATATACTAATTATGGAATTATCAAATTTAACCATTATTGACTGTTAAATAATTATTATTGCCTTTTTAATTTCTTTCTTTTTTCTTTTTTTCAAATATATAAACCAAGACAACACGCTGTACACCAGGCACTGGAGATTGTTACTGTTAAAAACCAATAAAATATTTATTAAAAAAAGAAACTTATTTTTTCAATAATTACATTTATATTTTATCAGATCCAAATGTTATAGCCTTAGCCTACTTCTTTTTAAAAAGTCAACTGTGTATATTATCTGAGATAAGGATTGTTTCAGATACTACAAATACACAATGCTGTTGGTACATCTTTGTAATGTTTGAGCATGAATGAGGGCCTAAGAGCATAAAACCTACTCTGTGTCTATGCAAGATGTTCCCTTCTGTCACACTATTACTCACCAGACTCTTCCTTCTCTCTCTTGGGCTTAGGTGTCTTAGTCATTGGGCCAGAGGTTTTAAGCAAGTCTTCTCCAGCACCTTCTATTGGTGTACCACCAAATTCTTCATCAAATTCCAGCTTTATTGCTGTAGTATGAAGGTCCTCCTAAAATTAAAAAGAAAACAAGTGAAGCTACCATAATGGTTAAGAGAATTGTAAAAATTGAGAAATAAGATCAATAAATATCCTTGGGGATAAACCTCAATCTTTCAAACTCCATTTCCAGTCTTGAATATGAGATTACATATGTATACTGCCTTTCCATTTCACAACAATGTACAAGGCAACTAGCAATACATTCAATCCAAAAACAGAACTAAAATCTGTTTAAAACACACACTGTACATTACAAATAAAATCAATACTTTAAAAAGTTCATAAGTTACCCTGTGTACCCTGTGGTTACAAAGTTGCCTTGTGGTAAGATGGGTGGCCAATAAATTTTATAAATAAATAAATAAGTTGAAATTTAAAAGTTGTGTTTTAACCTTCGTACAAAATAAGAGTTTTGAATAACATTCAATTCCCAAGGCAGTACATTCTACATTTGGGGAGTAACACAGAAAGAATATCTTACTGTATATTCTAGGTACTTTCTGGTTAGGTTTCTATTAAAGAGCTTTAAATACTGCTATTTTAAGGAAAATCCAAAAATATTCAACTAGTCTAGAATCAGGGTTTTATTTGGAGCCAACAAACTGGATAATTCTTATTGTATCCATTAGATAGGAAGATAAGTGACGGGAAGGGCAATTGTCTTAAATGTGCTGAAAATAGAAAATACAGTTGACAATAAAGGAGTGTAGAGGAGATGCAAATAGCTGCAGACATTGCTACTGAAAATTTGCCTTCAGCAGTACACCTTGGGAGAGGTGAGACTCACTCTGGCTATTTGCCCGATGTAATTTAACCATTTTTATATGCACTAGGAAGGTTTTTATTTTTCACTTATTTCCCTGTTGACTTACCCGCTCCCTTCATTTCCTAGTTTGGGCCTCCCTTTCTTTTTTTCTTTTTAATGCTTTAATGCAACATATTGCATTTATGGTTTTGTATTTGTTCTGTAGATTTTAAACTGCTTCAAGTTTATTTAGTATAACTGAAGAAAATACAAATTGTTCAGGAGAAAATCTAAAACATGCTGGACAAAAATATTAACAAAACAGATTTATTTACCTTCTTTTTTTTTAGCAATTTCTTACTGGTATCAGCTTTCATAGCCGATGTAATCTGTGGAACTATCCTCCTACCAAATGGTGAAGGCATGGTCTCTTCTAAGTGAAATTTTTTCATCTTGGGTTTACCAACTTTGCCTTTTATGGGTTTGCCAGTCATCCCTGCCAGTACATCCTCTCTTTCCTGACCTTCTACTTTCTAAAACATACATGAAAATAAAAATTAGATATAAACAGCTTCTAAACTCTGTAAGGTCTGAACACATATGCTATGTACTGTATACTATATACTAATATACAATATTATATTCATGTATCACATATATTTTCACAAGTCATTCTAATTAGGAAAAGATCTTTAAATATAGTGTAACTATATTATTTCACTACTATTCCTAATGGATTAATTTGAAATAAACAAATGTACCAATTTATCTAGAAAACAACTTTTTGATTCAAAAAATTTTTAACACATAAAGAAAATTCAGGAGAATAACAGAACCATGACTGATTATTTTCAGTAAGAAAGTTTATATTCCATGTTGTAGGATATAAATTTTCCATATCACGTTCTTAGGAATATCAATCTGCTAATACAAACTAATGGATGTCATTAAATTTCTATTCAGAAATAAAATTAAAAGTTGATTTCAACATAGCTCCCACTTAAGTATCAAGCCAAAACTCTAAATTAGTATGATATTCCAAAAATATGTTGGGGTATACCAGACTTATTTTGCCTATTAAGAATCCTATAGGAAAAAGCAGAATAGTTGTATCAGCAAATACTGAACTTAAAAGTGAAAACAAAGTAGAAATAACAAAAAATGTCCAATGAAATACTGGATCAGAACCAACAGTGGAAAAATTCAATATATTCCAATAGCTTAATGAGTATGAGGCAGGCATGCAGGCAGGCATGTAGAAGCAGGGCTCTCCTGAATAATTTATTTAAAAGCCTAAAAAAAAAAACCCTAAACCTGTACAGAATTGCACCCACAGGGGGAAAAAAATTGAATGGAGGTAAAGAGTAGACTTGGAGAGAAGAGAAAACTTGTAAATGAAACATTTGTGAGCAGCACGGTGGACCAGCTGAGCAGCAGCGGTGCAGAGCTAAGTGGCAGAGGAGTGGAGTGCCCAGAACAGCAACTGAGGGCAGCGCAGCTGAACAGCAGTAGTGTAAAGCTATGTATGACAGAAGACCAGAGAGCAGCATGGCGGCCAGCAGCAGCCGAGTGCAGCGCAGGGGACCAGCTGAGCAGTGGCTAAGCAGAGCAGAGCACTCAGATCAGCACATTGTACCTGAAAACCCCGGCAGTGGCCAGGCAACCAAAGGGCAAGAAGGCAGGGAAAAAAAGGATAAGTACAAAACACTTTTGGACAGGAAAAAAAGGGAAAAACTCTCAAGGCACGGTTAAGAGCAAAGCATCTCCTAGAAAACAGCCAGAGATTTCCAGCAAAAAGAAGTGTACATCACTTAATAAAGAGCAAAGAACTTTTGTAAATTTTAATTTTTAAAATCTCTGATTTTTTAAAAAAAAGTTTTTTCAAATTTTAAAATGTCTTTTTTCAATTTTCAATTTCTTTTTTAAAATTTTTAAATTTTTTCAATTTTCAATTTGTCTTTTCAATTTTCAATTCTTTTTCCAATTATAAACTCTTTTTTCCATTTTTAATTTTTATTTTTTTTCCAATTTTCCAATTTCAATTTAAAAAATGAAAAAAAAGTTTACTTATTTTAATTCTTTAGAAATTTTTAAATTCTTAATGATGTAAGAGGAAAAAAAATTTAAAAAATCACAGAAAAAGAGACAGACACTTCAAAACAGGGAAGATAGTAATGAATTTTCAAGGCAGAGAATAAAGGATCAAGAACTTTTGTAAACTAACACTTCACAACAGGGAAAATATTTAATTTTTAGAATTTTTTAATTTTTTAGCAAACTAAAAAAAGTCATGGAAAAAGAGACTGACATTATACTTGCATTATGTAATACGTTTGAGCTTAGGCCCACAGAAGACCCATACAGTGAGGGGAAAAAATATTTGATCCCCTCCCAATTTTGTACGTTTGCCCACTGACAAAGAAATGATCAGTCTATAACTTTAATGGTAGGTTTATTTTAACAGTGAGAGACAGAATAACAACAAAAAAATCCAGAAAAACACATTTCAAATAGTTATAAATTGATTTGCATTTTAATGAGTGAAATAAGTATTTGTCCCCTTCGCAAAACATGACTTAGTACTTGGTGGCAAAACCCTTGTTGGCAATCACAGAGGCCAGAGGTTTCTTGTAGTTGGCCACCAGGTTTGCAAACATCTCAGGAGGGATTTTGTCCCACTCCACTTTGCAGATCCTCTCCAAGTCATTAAAGTTTCAAGGCTGACGTTTGGCAGCTCGAACCTTCAGCTCCCTCCACAGATTTTCTATGGGATTAAGGTCTGGAGACTGGGTAGGCCACTCCAGGACCTTAATGTGTTTCTTCTTGAGCCACTCCTTTGTTGCCTTGGCCATGTGTTTTGGGTCATTGCCATGCTGGAATACCTATCCACGACCCATTTTCATTGCCCTGGCTGAGGGAAGGAGGTTCTCAACCAAGATTTGACGGTACATGGCCCTGTCCATCGTCCCTTTGATGCGGTCAAGTTGTCCTGTCCCCTTAGCAGAAAAACACCCCCAAGGCATAATGTTTCCACCTCCATGTTTGACGGTGGGGATGGTGTTCTTGGGGTCACAGGCAGCATTCCTCCTCCTCCAAACACGGCAAGTTGAGTTGATGCCAAAGAGCTTGATTTTGGTCTCATCTGACCACAACACTTTCACCCAGTTCTCCTCTGAATCATTCAGATGTTCATTGGCAAACTTCAGACGGGCCTGTACATGTGCTTTCTTGAGCAGGGGGACCTTGCGGGCGCTGCAGGATTTCAGTCCTTCACGGTGTTTTGTGTTACCAATTGTTTTCTTGGTGACTGTGGTCTCAGCTGCCTTGAGATCATTGACAAGATCCTCCCGTGTAGTTCTGGGCTGATTCCTCACCATTCTCATGATCATTGAAACTCCACGAGGTGAGATCTTGCATGGAGCACCAGACCGAGGGAGATTGACAGTTTTTTGTATGTCTTTCATTTGCAAATAATCACACCAATTGTTGTCACCTTCTCACCAAACTGCTTGGCGATAGTCTTGTAGCCCATTCCAGCCTTGTGTAGGTCTACAATCTTGTCCCTGACATCCTTGGACAGCTCTTTGGTCTTGGCCATGGTGGGGAGTTTGGAATCTGATTGCTTGCTTGCTTCTGTGGACAGGTGTCTTTTATATAGGT